TAATTGTCAACACATTGTTTGAAATATGTTGACAATTACATTTAATTAAAATATCCCTCTTTTTATAACTATAAACGTAGATATTATTTATACATACAATAGTAACTCGAATATAAATTTTATTTGCATGGTTGATAAAAGCATATGAAAAAACGCGCTACTATACATATGTAATCGACTTAACAATGAACAAATATAATCAACGGATTCAGTAATTACTGTGCAAGTTTTTCTCAGGGTTTTATCAATTAATTATTTATTTGAACGTTTTTTGTTGGAAAAGCCGCAAAGGTAAAAGCACACACAAAGGAAACTAAAGAAATAATTTGATTTCCTTGAATTCCACAATAAGTATATTATTTAACAGGAACCCAAATTAAAGATTTATTTAAATTATTAACAATAGGGTCATAGTTTAGTAACATTTTGTTATACACATATGATTTATTATTTTTTAATTAAATATTTGCTGAAAATTTGTGAATACAAATTGTTTGAAATTTTATATGTATGGTAATTGAACGGGTATAACAAGTATGTTACGGTCAAATTGAAATACGCATGCCTCGGCTTGTGTCGCACGGGTTCGTGTTAAATTCGGCGTGTGCTCTCCCCTCCCGAGCAGTACGAGTTGCCCATCGTGCTGTTCGTCGTCGAAAAACATTTGTTAGAGTGTGAAGTGTAAGATTGTCGTTTGCTAAGATGGCGGTGTAAATTTTTAAGTGTTTAGTAAAATGGATGCCTTGAAACAAGTTTATAAAAAAGTCGCCTTGTCAAAATTTCGCCACCCCGTGTTTGATTAGTTGTAGTGAATTCGTCTTCGTAAGAAAGACGTAAATAATAGAAGGAACAATGCGCGAATTCAAGGTAGTCGTTCTTGGTTCGGGTGGGGTAGGAAAAAGTGCATTGACAGTGCAGTTTGTGTCTGGTTGTTTCATGGAAAAATATGATCCTACGATCGAGGATTTCTATCGAAAAGAGATCGAAGTGGACAACTCACCCTGTGTCCTGGAGATCTTGGACACGGCTGGCACGGAGCAGTTTGCCAGCATGCGCGACCTCTATATCAAAAACGGGCAGGGTTTTGTCGTTGTATACAGCTTGACCAACCACCAAACGTTCCAAGACATCCGCCCCATGAAAGAACTGATAACGAGGGTCAAAAATACCGAACGGGTTCCTATACTTTTGGTAGCGAACAAGGTGGATTTGGAACATCAGCGGGAGGTATCAACCAGCGAAGGATCAAGTCTAGCCCAGCAATGGGGCTGTCCTTTTGTGGAAGCTAGCGCAAAGAATAGGACCAACGTGAACGAGGTGTTTGCTGAAATAGTGAGAGAAATGAACTTTAATCCTGAAAAAGAAAAGAAAAGCTATTGTTGCTGTACAGTGCTTTAATAATGGGCCTCATTTCCACTCGCGGTGGGAATGCCAATCGTCATAAAGAAAGAAAAACATTTGTGTGAACAATTAGTCAGCTTAAATGTTCGTGTATATCTCCTGTTTGCAGACAGAGACAACATTATATATTTTATTAATGCTCATTTTCTAGTAAACTTGATTCGTAACTGCTTAGAACTGCACAGTACCTATATTTTTATACATTGAAGGAGATAGAGGAAATCTACATATTTTATTTACCTACCAACTCAATTTTTAACTGAATCATATCTTATACTGCTAAGATCTACTTAAATAGATAGTGCCTGATAATTGAAAAACTTGTCTGCTTTTCTACGAATCTGGGCTAAATTTTATTTATTAACAACTTACAACAAAACAATACGTAAATAATTGTTATAAATTGTCGTGATTTCAGCGAGTTTTATCCAACACAAATGGTACCTACAGAATTTATTTTTATTAAAAGCGCCTAGCTTCAGCGAAAGTTTGTGTAGGACCTTGTACTGTATTCTTTTTCCCATTTTCGTAATTATTTCTCGCACGTATACACGTGGAAACCAACTTGTAAGAATGCGAATCGAAATTTCTTGCACAAAATTCGTTGTGGAAATTAATTGAGCATCTTGTTTACTCCAGTTATTTTTCAATACAATTTCTTTTATAAAATGACAAAGTTTTTGATAATACACAAACCACAATTTTTTTGGGTCAATAATACGTTCGATATATTCTTTTAAATGACACTAATAAAGTCAGATTTTAAAAATACAAGAATTATATACTGAGTTATTTTTTTGTTAATAAATTAGTACCTACATATGCCATTTGTTTGCCCACATTCGAAGATAAAGTGCAAGTTATTTCAAAAGGCATAATGTGTGTGGTGGTGCTACAGCTACAATACTAACGGCCTAAGAAACCGAAAAAGTAGTCAGTGGCAGTGACAATTAAATCCGAAAAATTATGGCGACTGCTATAAAAAAAAATAAGCTGGTCTTCTAAGGAATGCCATATAAACGAGGGGAGTATTAGATTAGTTACCGCGTCTGTGTTATTTTCAATTCCATCTGAAATTTGATTTCAACTTTTTATAATGTTGTAATTTTTGTTGTTGGAAAATGAAAAAACAAAGGGGCAGAATACTCCTCTTGCATTTTGCTTTCGCAAGACCAGCTTCCCCGTTGTGCTAATAATCCTTAATTTAGTATATATATGTTGTATAAAACTCATCAATGTATATAACGCAATTTTATCGTAAAAAATACAGACTTGCGTGTTTTGTAAAAAAATATGAATAAATGGTGTATGATTGTAGCGTGTATCGAGAGTTACTAATTAAATGTTATTTGCAACAACCTTGATTGTAGCGTGTATGTCCTCTGAGAGCCAAAAAAGGATTTGTGATATATACTTATTATAATAAAAACCTTTAAATGGAATTATTGATTTTTATTAATATTGTCTCTGGGTTCACACAACACGTTCTTTAAAACTCATTTTGTTTTTGCTATCATCTCCAATTATTAGTTTATTGTCTTAAGGCGATAGTATATAATTTTTTTTACCCCGGATGTCTATTTTACTATGTGAGCTGGTGTTTACCATTGCCTATCACAGAGAAAAGATCAAAATGATGCTATTATCGCAACCCGTGGTATTACTGTAGTTAATGAGGAAATGCATTCATTTGTTTAGTTGGCGCTCATGAAGATTACGGAAATTCCATTAAGATTATCGTAACTGAATTAATAACAATATTAATTATGCGCTAATTATTAATTTCTACTTGTTGCGTGTATACATTTTTAAACACACTAGTTATGTAGAAAAAGAAAATAATAGAAAAGTGCGAGTTTGTTTCGCACGCACAGGAATCCATGGTATAATAGCTTATCATTTTTTTGGTCGAAATTGCAAATACAAGAAACATCGTTTTATTTTTTCTGTAGTATTTTCAAAATTGTTGTTTTAAATTTTTAGAACTTATTGTAATAGATACTTATCTAGGTACATTTCTGAATTTAAAATTTGATGTCTAGTTATAATAATTACAAAAAAAATAAATTTATCTATTTAGATCTAACACCCTGTATCTTCAAGCATCTTTTTTTTTTTAATCTGCAGCGAATGTGCTTGTACCACCCTGTATACGGCCATTACCAGATGTCAATAGTTATGATTGTAGAATAGGTACATATACAGATAAGGCAAAACATTTACTATTACATATTTTTTTCCAACCACTTGCACCTGAAACTATAACCTGCTTCTCTGAAAATTGTCCTGAAGTAACACGCTTCAAACGCTTTAAATTCCTTTCGTTGGGCTTGTATTCGTCTATTATTTATATGAAATGATGACTGAAGGTATTTGTACGAATTCTCCTGTTAACGACCTATTTCCTAAAAGATGATGCCGTCCTTTAATGATTGCATAATATTGCATGTATTGAAATATCTTTAGGTTCGGTTATCAACTCGCCACTGCTGTATATTCGTCCTGAAGTTATACTTTCTTGTCTAAAGAGAAGTGCAGAATAATTTGTTACAAACTGTAATAAGTTTGTCTTGATTATTATAAAGTAATACTTACAGATACTGCCTGGCAGCAAGTTTCTTTTGTAAGTTCTGACCTGATTTAAAATTAGATTTTAATTGCCGTATAATTAAATTGTTCAGTGGTAATAACGGCAATGCCTGCGTCTTTTGCATGTTTTTAGTTGTGGCTTGTTTTAATTGTTATACCTAATTAACTTTTCTTTCAAATATTTATCGTTTTTTGTGTCTTATCAAAAGTAACGTATGGATTGAATTACATTATCAAATGTGAATTTTTTACATTCTTCTGTAAAATAAGCAAACTGCACATCAAAATGTACACGGGTAATACCTTATTGGTAGAAATAGGTCAAAAACCGGAACCCAACATTAGTCTTTGTTTTTTCCCCAACAAATAGTTTTTGATTTGTACTGTTTTCTAATTTTACGTGCCATCTAAAACTGTTTGTAATAGGATGAGTAATCAAAATTAAATTTACGCTCTAGTTATCTCAAAACTGTGCAACATACAGATACAATGTTTACTGATTTTTTCCCAAATAGATGCACCCACACACACATACATATTCAATATATTTTATAGTGCGACTATACAGGGTATTCCAAAAAAAGTGGGTATCCTTTCTGCAGCGTATCTCAAGGCTATTCAGAAAATTAAAATTTCCACGATTTTCGAGTAATTTTGAAATTTTTGAAATACGTCCTTATTTTTGCGAACAATTTAGTAAACCGTAGTTTGTTAGAACTTCAAGTAGGTACTTAATTGTCCACAACGTAACGATTTTTTTGAAGATAGCTCTGTTTTAGTACCGTAATATATACAGACACCTGTTTAAAAATATTAAGTTTATTTATGGTCTATTAGCAATAGTTTTTGTCACTCGACGTTGCCATTTTTTTAATCATCCTGCATGTACATACATATCTACCTTGGAAACTTACAAATATATGGACCTTAATTTGCAAATATCGATTAAATTTTCTAATTAAACAGAACCTGAAACTTTCCTTGTTTTCATAACGGAATTTCAATAATTGTGCGAATTACATATGATAGAAAGTTTTTTTTTATATGTACCGATAGGTATATGCATGTGTGTCTGTTCATTGTAACAGTGCAATACATGTACATTGTGATGTAGAACCCATCCATTATAAAATTGTCGCTTCCAAGTTGCTATTTTTAGACTAATGTTATGAATCACTCCGTTATTGCTTGTAACGATTATTATTATTACTTTAAATAAATTTTTGATATTAATTGCCATAATTTAAAAACATTTTACGGATTATTATTAACATATTACATACGTCTAAAAATTAATTAAACATTTATAAACGAAAATGTCCTGGTTCTAGGTATACTAAAATTAAGTAATCGTAAGAAAATATAAAAAATGTGTAGGTAAATTACAAAAAATTAACGATTTTTCAAGTACCTACGTACATTTTTTAAAATTGATTATTATTACTGATTATATTTATTTTCGATATGATTGAGTTATAGAACCATTATTTAAAAATTACAATTAGTCATTTGAATATCTTTTCTTTATTTGAAATAAACTCGATTTCCGTTCGCGTATTCTAACTATATACCTACCTAGCATTGCAATTTAAACCAAAAACATTTGCTTTTGCACAACTGTAAAAGCATAAAAATAGACGTTGAAGTCAGGGTTAACATAATTCTATTTCAAGAGAACAAGGAAGCTGTTCAAAATAATTCACCGTGTTTATTTCAAAACAACGCGAATAAAGTTATAGTAAAAAAAATGGTAAAGTAAATAAACTGCAATTCCTGTACAGTGCATAGGTACATAAGTTGATATTAATCGTTATTTTGCTCTATACAGTATGCACATATGTGTGTATATAGAAACGACATTTACCCAAGTTAAAGAAATTGTTTACATGAAGTTAAACATTGCATTGAGCGATGCTTTTATCTGCTAATTGTTTGTTAAACTAATTACAAGAAAGGATGCAGTTTTCATTCTAACGATAAAGTCTACAACAGCTAGACTGCTTGCCATGCAAAGTTGGCTATGGTTTCACATAAAAATGCTATTTCATAGAAGAAAATATGACGTGAACGCTTATTTATGTATTTCTTTCCAAGACCATGGTATTTAAAGTTTGCTTTCATCGTAGGTATACATTTAAAGTCTTTGTAAGTGGTGCTTCAAAACAGGGGGCAATTGAGACATTTATTTATTGTTAGGTAGTTTCGTAATACAATACAATACATAGTAGCATATTCCAAAGTGGGGCCATCATCTAACATATGTCGATAATTGTATAATAGTGTTTTATATGTGAAATTAATTCAAAAATAAGCAGAATTTGCTTTAGAAACAGTTACCTTCTTTTGAAATTAATTTGTAACGCAAAAGATGAACTTAATTTCATTCATATCATCATTATCAAAATAAGTATAGGTACTTGAAGATAACCTCCTTTATTATCTGATATTTTTAGAAATACCGTACAAGTACATACTTTCTGTTTCCCCAATATATGTATGTATGTATGTATGTATGTATGTATGTATGTATGTATGTATGTATGTATGTATGTATGTATGTATGTATGTATGTATGTATACACGGTTACCTTAGCTACACGTACAGTAACTACTTATTAAATATTTTAAAGAGTTTTTAGCACATTGTATAGGTATATATATATATGTGTGTGTATACAGGGTGATTCATTAATAATAGGAAATATTTGGACTTTTGATTACCCTAAAGAAATGAGCAGTGACAAAAATTTCTATCAATTAACAAAAAGTAAAATGATTTTAATTTGAGACATTTTTTAATAAAATAAAGTCAGTTAAGTTAAGTAATATAATTATATCAACTGGTCTTGATTTCTAAAATAATTAACAAGAAAGTTATATATAAGCATAGTCGAGTCCAATTTCCGTACGTAGGAATGTAAATCACGTCAGAAATATGTCTGGAGTCCTTTGAAATAGTTCTTTTCAACTCAAGAACACGTAAAAATTCTGTTGAACCAAAAGTCAATTCTGTACAGTATACAGGTATGAAATATAAGCAGCAAGTGATGATTCATCGAGCAGGTAGCATGTAGTTCTTTCTTTTACTAGGTACCTACCTGAACAACGTAAATTGCATATGACGATAATGAGAAAATATAATAATAAAATTAATGAATTTGAACTATTTAAAATGAAAATGTAACTGTAAGGTACATTTACAATTAGTTTAAATTGTGTATTATAACAAACAACATAAAAGTTAACAATATTACAACTAAATTTGATTGTAATTTCAACTCATTGTCAGATATATGCAATTTTATGAGGAAATTTAAAATTCTAATTTTTCTTTTGCATGTATTGTACTTAATTAATTATTCTTTTGGCTTTCACTTTTAGTTTGATTTTGTCGTATTTTAAATTTACACATCACTGATCGCATACGTGTATGGTACATGTCATTCATTTTAAATAACGTTAACTATACCAACTATTATCTTATCTCCATGCAAATAAAGCAATACAAAATTTACGATTAGAGATACGTAAATGTACTTTAACAATTTCTGGAAAAAAAAAAATAGTTTTACCCCGAATAGAATAAACGATAAATATGTAAATTAACTGGTAGTTCTTAAAAATCACTTCACTTTTGGTCATTATGAAAACCGTATTAGAATACTTTTAGGTGACTGATTCTGTTCATGCACGAATTAATTTATCTTATCTTTATACTTAAAGGAATTTTTGGAATTTCTATGTGAAGATTATTTTGATTTACCTAGTAAACTCTTTTTTCATTCATTTTTCGAATTACACTTTAAAAATATAAAAATACGAACTATATTACATAATAGTAAAACTCTAAGCA